GTATGTGGAAAGCTAGCTCAGTGGAGCAGTAACGATGGCTGCTGAAGAATTATTTTGTGTTGCTGTCTGCCTGCACAGCTTTGGAGGTACTGGTGTCAGCTTCTGGTTCGACCACAGGTTAGTAAGGTAATATGGTTGCAATCAGATGGTAAAAACTGGAAAATGCAGTCATTTCTCCTCTGTGTCAAGCTTAAAAAGAATACCTCTTAGAAACCCAATATATGGAACTCTAACAAAGGAGTTCGTAATCTACAGGTGTCCAAGAATTGGTGTCTCATGAACTACATTGGTGTCAGAAAAGTTTTACATCTGTGAAATATGTGAAGCATGTTACTTTGGGAGATGCTAAACCAGTTGCTGTAATGAAATCATTTGTCAAAGTAATTAGAGAAGCAATTACTCATAATCATCAAAGCATAATTGATTGAGATTGAGTAGGTGAATTTAAGGGAACTCTCTGTGTCTGTACAGATTATCTACATTATCTTCATTTCCTCGAGTTCCTTACATAGAGGAAGGGATCACAGTTCTGGCACAAGTCTGGGAACTTTGTCCAAACACCAACAATTATATTGATTTTTTTTTTCTCTAAGAAAGAGGATTCTTCATCTGGAAAAAAGAGACAGAAAGCCAATAAAACCTATTTACACTGTTCGATTTGATTTATCCATTTTTCTTCTCTTCTATTATGAATATCCTGAGGAGCATTTGGGATTAATCTGGGCTCTTGCATGTGTGCACCATATTTTTCCTCCGTGTCCCTCTCTTTCTCCACATCTCCCTCATGGGGTGGGCTTCAGATTCAGAATGGCCCACTTGATTTCAGAGCAGGATGCCACTTGAATGATTCAGACATGTCAAGTGTGCTCATGAATAATGAAGGCAACACGAATTGTGAAGTAAATATTTCATGGCGCGTGAAAGTGAGCAAAGATGCTTGGAGGGGATTGCTGTCCCTGGTCAGTTGGGAGTGTGTCCGGATGGGAAGAATGTGGAGCAAGGTGAAGGGAAGTGTGCTTGACATGGTGATGGGAAATTGTCCTCCTCCTGTGAGCTGCAATGATAGAGGAACAGAGGAGATGGTGCCCCATAAGAGCCATTATTGTAATAACCCCTTAAACCCTTAGGGTCTATGTGGGCTCCACATTCTCATACCTACATAACCTCCGGATTAGTTTTACAATGAATAATGAGAGTTAAAATAAGAGTATAATTATAAGAGTTAATCTAGACTTCAAGAGGGTTTATTACCACAGAGAGATTATGATGAACAATTTGCATTTCCATCACCTTTGAATGTTCTACACTTTTAATAATAAAGGATTCTAAGGAATTCTTGCTATAGAACATTTATATAAAATAGAAAATAGAAATTGCTGTGGAGCATATTATGTGGGGTTTTTTAAAACATTAAAAAGGTTCTTCACTCACATATCTCATTCACAAAAATGGTTCTTGAAAGAACCCTCCATTGATAGGTCCTTTAGGGAACCCAGAGTGATTTTTCTATAACATTGCTCTAAAGAACACTTTTTGGCACATTTTTTTATTTTTATTTTTTATCATTCCCGTAAAAATATTATTTAAATAAAATATTTATGTTCAGGCCAACACAAACTACTATAGACATGCCTACTCCTAAATATGTATAATAATTATAAAATTTATTAAATGTATTATTTATGAAAAAATATTTTATTTGGCAATGCAAATCGGACATGTGCAATAATATACATATTTTATACACATTTGGATACAAAATAAATAAATAAATTAATAGCACTAATCCTTTTTACATTTAGGTTAAAATATTAAAAATAGGTCCCAAAATTTCCAAATGACGGGATGTAGGAATGACCTTCACAGCTAGTTCTGTTGTAGGCACTACACCATGTTTGTTCAAACCTAGGAGAAAAAAAAAGAAAGAAAAGAAAAGAGGGAAGAATGAAAACTAAGCAGTTAATGGCAGACCCTCAGTCTATTACATCAGCAGGCATCACTGTGGTTTACCAGTTCTAGCGGGTAAGAAGGTCACAGTATTAAATGCTGTTGCATGTTGATCCAGAGTTTACTGGCCTACCAAACTAAAAATGTAGCATTGGTTAATCTTTCTTACAATTGGGTTGAGGTTTCTTAATGCTAACTATTTGGAGCTAACATAAGCTCAGTGTAAACACTAGTGCAAGTCAGTTTGAATATATTAACCTTAATGTAATAAACACCTATGTTTGACAGATTATCAGATGTAGTGTATTACATTTTCATTTCATAAGCAACAACTTTGTGAAGAAATTACTATCATAAAGTAAAACATGCTAAAAACATAGCATGATATTGTGCTAGCTAAGCTAATGCTAATGAGGCAAAAAAGTGACATTAGTACTAAATTTACTGCTAGGTTAAGAAACAATACTTTGCTGGCTGTATAGAAAAACAAAATTGGTACAAAAGTGATTACAGTGATTTTGCCTCATTTGTATTAAACAATGCAAAACAGAACAGTTTTTCAAGGCTGCTTTGTCACATCATCAGAAAAGAGTCAGCACATAGTTCGATGGAGAAAATACTGTCGATGTGAATGATAGTAAACTGGCAAGCAACATGTTGAAGTGAATAGTGTAATGTGGCAAACAAATATTAAATGGTTTGAATTTAAATGCTAAAATTCACTGAAAGTATGTACATTTTACACCTTGCATTCGGTTTATACCCTCTTAAACAGATAAACAACTAAAGATACATCATACTGTGTATTTAACTATATATTTTACTGGCCTTTTTGAATAACATGTCGTAGCTGGTTTCATCTACCCGCATTTCTTTTGAACTTTCTTCAGGTCAGATGCATGCACAAAGGATGAGAAACAGAAGACCATGAAAAATGCTCCTGTAGCATCCTCAGAAATTGCCTAATGTAGCCTTTAGGCACATAACTGGAACAGCCTTCAGTGACATAGTAGTCTAGAAATACAGCTAGGTTTGCCACTTCAGCCCTGTAGAATTTCCAGACACTCAATGAGTGGCTGTATTTTTGTAATAATTTCAGTGGACAGGTAGCTATGCTCACAGCGCAGTCTATGGTAAATGTCAGTTCAGCTACAGAACTCAATCTTTTCAGTTATCACATTGAAGTGCTGCCCAGTGCCTAAAAATGTCACCAACAGTGCACTTTTCAGAAACAGCTGTCCCTACATTAAGGGAAGTCTAAGTATACAAATGGTTTGACTGGATAGAAAGAATCAGATTAAACTTAATAAGAAATAGTAGCATGTGAAAATGCTTGCATTCCTGGGCATTTTTTTGTGCATTTTTTTTTCCTGGACAGACAACCAAAATCCTAGACACATATCAACCCTAAGCAGCCCACCAACACCACAGCCTGGAATTTTAGAACACAGCTCATATATCCCCCTCCTTCATAATGTTTTTGGTTATAGTGACTACACCTGGCAGTCGTGGAATGGGACGTGGTCTTTTCTGCATTGTGTCCACTATCACTTAGCTTGACCCAGCCTCAAACCCAGTTACAATTAACTACCCAGCACTGAGGAACTCCACAAAATAACCCAATAGGCCCCACATAGCATTTGGGATGAAAAAATAACCCAGAATTTTTTTGTGTATTTAATGGCTTGCACAGTATTTCGGATCACCAAGCTCATTAGTAGAGCAGTGCTGCCTCTGTGCACATTACATTTTTTAATGCATGCTGTCAGTTTTTAATTATCAGAAGTCTGGATATTTGGATGTGAACCTCCAACTTGCTTCAGCAGAATGTTTTTTTGGTATCATAAATAAACATTTCCTCATTAAGGTTGTGCCCTTAATATGAAAGTAGTGATATGATTGCCTCAATTAAAAGGAAATTGTGTTTCGCTCCTAAGTTGATTTCCGTGTGTCAGATTTGAATAATGATCATTACTGCAGTGTGCTCGAAAGTGGCAGAGAGGAACATGTTTGGCATACTGATGACAGCTGTGCTCTCAGCTCAGCTGCTGCTGCTCCTGTAGGGAAAGAGCACAGTCGCTCTCTCCACGATTGGGATCCATCACCCGTGCCCATATTAAGCAGTGTAATGGCCCTCTTGCTCAGACATTGATTTCCTGGATGATATAATGCATGTGGACGGAGGCGAGGCTCAGTGAGAGCATTGGAGAGAGGAGAAAGTGAGCTGGAGAGGACGAGCTGCTAGTCAGGAGGGGAATGGGGGATGGGGTTGGGTCATCTCACACAAACACATGCACTGGACTATGCCACTAGACATCTGATGGGTTGCAGTATGACATATGTCAGATTGATGGTCCACTGACAGGTTAGCTGAAAGTCATTCAGTGAGGGGGCTCTGACAGGAGCTTTCAGATTAGCTCTGAAGAGCTACATGTCCTTCAGGGCTATCCTTGGTTGAGCTATGTAGTCTGAATCACAGGAAAATCTGCTAAATAGTTGCAATAGTAAGGTCTAGAAAGGCTCAAAAAGGCCCTTATGTAAGCAGGTCTGGGTTATATTTAACCCTCCTAGGTTCCCAGTGTGACAGTACCTTGTATCTTCATTTTTGTTGTTTTTATATTTTTACATAATTTGAAAGCCAAGAGAAATGGTCCAAAATCACATAGAATAAATCTTGTTTTATTAACAGACATTAAAAGATAAGCAGGTTTTTGGCTCCTCCTGTAAAGTTACCATTTTGAAGATAAAAGCTTTTGTCTGACAGTGATGAATTGTAAATATACATTTATGAATGTAAATGAAATTTTTATGTAAGTATTTACTTTACTTGTGTAAATATACACAAGTATTCCTAATTGCAATTACATTAAACCTATTATAGTAATTATCTGTATAGCAAAATGAGCATACTAATGAACATCACTCTGAATTAAAGTATTTTTCATGCCCTGAATATTTCCATGCACCTCAGACATTGTGAATTCATGTTTTTGTATTTTTGTATAAACTGATGTTCATTAGAGCTCATGTGGCTGTATTTGTGTCTGTTATAGGTCTGTGTGTATGCTGTGATGAGCCCTTGAGTTCTTTTCTCCCCTCTGGCCAGCTGCCCCAGACAAGCAGGGGCTCTGGTGACAGCAGTGGCCTCCAGAAACAGAGATACAGCAGACCTGCCATGGCCAGCGGTAACTAACCCTCTCTCACCACCATCTCAGTTAATCCTCAGTATATCATCTGACTCAGCACAATGCAGAATGAAGCTGGCTTCTGATTATTTATTAACCTCATAATGAGCCCTGGCTTTGTATGTCTCTTTAGCAGTGCCTGGTGTCGAGGATGGAATATCAAAAGAGGGAGAGGTCTCAAACTGTTAAGCAGACACATGTTATGATATTAAACCTAGTGCTGGGCAGCGTTGTTAACATTCCGTGTTTCCAAATATAATCACACCATCACAATAACAGACAATATTTAATGTTCTATTAATACAATTAATAAGGTCATGCCTTATTAGTACTGCTACTCCTGACATAGCATGTTTTGATTGGACTGCTTACACCAAAGGGAATCCTACACAACATTATTCAACATTACCCAGACAGAGACCAGAGATCCAGACAGTAACTTAATATTTATTTCATTTCTTTTTGTATTTTGAACTGCTCTTTCAAAACACTCTGAAGCACTCAGCAGATGACGTACATCGCAATGATGATATATCACGCAGCACTATATTAAACCATTAAAATTTGACCTGCCTATGACTCACCCAAGTTTTCCATAGAAAAACTGGGCAGAGAAAATTGGTAAACACTGAACACAGGTTGTAAAACTGACACTCAAAATGTTCTTAAATAAAAAGCACATTATAACAGCTGATCTATGACAGCCACCTGTTCTTTAGAGGAGAAAGTGTATCCAGAGTTTTTTAGCCAAGTTGATTTTCTCCACACAAGCCCGATGTGAAGTTGTTTACAAAATGGCTTGTTTTGCTTAATGTTCTCTTCAGTATTGACAGAAGTGATCAAAGAGTAGTTTGTGAAAGAGTGTTCTCTCTATGTTTCTCAGCAGCAGACGGCATTGGGGGATTGGGAACAGAGCAGAGCCACCTCAGTGTGCCCGTGGCGGACCCTGGCGCTTGGGCCACAGCCATGAACAACTTGGGCATCATGCCCATGGGCCTAACCGGGCAGCAGCTGGTGTCAGGTAGAGCCATACATCATAGGTCTCGAATCACACTAACCCTTTCACCAGCCCCAGCCTTTTCACCACAGTAACCCCTAGTCTTCTCTCACACAGCTACAGAAACAGGCTGAGGTTTCCCTCAGTGAGCAGCTCTGGCACCAGCCACCCAAGCCAAATATGTGACCTTTAGAAGCAATGCTAGACATTGGATTTTATGTTAAACCATGTTCCAGTCTGTTGAGCTTTATTCTTTCGGTGAGGTACCCAGTTGTTTCAGCTCTAAAAGGCTGAGGCCCTGGAGTGCACTGGAGGCACCCGCAGTCCAAAAAAGCTCTGTTTGGTTCCTCACATCCAAGTTCCACTCAGAAGAAACATTCAGAGAGGTGTTGGTCTGCAGAATGTCATCTTTCTTTGGCCACTAAGATGGAAATTGGAGAATTATGAGCTAAACTGTTAACTCAGTCCATATAATTATGCTCTCTTTTTTATAATTAAGCTGAATTCACAAGGAACGTAAGGTTCCCTGGGACTGTGTTTGAGGTGGACGGCAGAAACAGTAAGTGAATGATAGGGGAGCAATATAATTGGCTTTCCTCTCAGACAGCGCTTTATGCTGTTACTGCATTTATAACGGTAGACTATCTCATACAAATAGAGTCTCTGCTGAGTGTGCAACCTATTGTAATTATTATAACGCCAAGGAGCCATGGTGGATTGAGGCAAATTAAGCTGAGATTAAAATGCATGAGCTGATTCTACAGATCATGCATATTTATGGGACTGTTATTAGTTGGAATAGCTCACATTTGAATTGTATATTTGAGGTTTTTTGTTCTTGAGGAATCATTCAAGACTCAATAAAAAATGACTGAACAAATCTTTTGCTTCTGGCCTGAGGGTGGAGGTGGGCAGAAAATCCTTCTAGCAATTCACAAGATACCAATGTGTTTAAATACCAGTGTGATTTCGCTCCACACACTGCTAATTTGTGTGTATTGTATGAATCATAAGAATAACTAAAAGCGTGATACACACACATGCCTGGCCTCAAAGCAGACCCAGTCACACTAAAAAACTCGCTGATCTTTGAGAACAAACAGGTTGAACAGCAGGACCATTGTGATATTTACAGAAGTACCAGCTTCAAAAGAAAGATTGGAAAAAGGCATCTGGTCTCTGTCAGTTTTTAAAGTAAATGTTGTCTGTTGAGGTTTTGTTCTGGTCTCCCTAAACCAGATTTTCTAGGACACATTTACATATCGTATAAATTGCTCTTGACATACTGTTTTAAACTGCTTCTGAACCTTCTACATGTAAAGCATCTTTGTACTATTTCTGCTGTGGGTATTTATATATATATATATATATATATATATATATATATATATATATATATAATATTTTCTATTTCTGTTTATTTTAACTTTATTTTCACCACTTCATTTGAGGACATGCTTTGTGCAATTATTTCTTAGTCTACACTTATCCAGCAGGATTTGTAAAGAACCACAAAGAAGCCGACTCTAAATATAGCGGATTTTCTCGACGTTGGAGTTGCTATTGTTAAAGCTCCATTTTGAGCGCTATTAAAAGAGCACGCTGGGAGATTTGGAGTCAGAATTGGTGTAAACCCTGAATGGCTGAACGCATGGGTTTATGCAAAGATTCAGGAAGCCTGAGCTGAGTTGCTAAAAAAAACAATACAAAAAAAAAAACAATCATGCTGTTCCAGAAACGCTGGTGCACATTTATGATGACCTATTTAGCCACTGCTGTGTTTTGACAAGGAAACAACTCAATGTGTGTTTGTTATGGTACAGTCTGGAGCGAGTGTGATATCTGTGGATAAAAGCTTAAGGACCAGAGTCTCTGCTTCTGCCACATTAAACTCTCTGGGTGTAGAATTTGCATAACCTCCCCAGTCTACTTTTGTTCACTGATGCCTGAGTAAAGTTGCTGATCTTTCTAGAAAGAAGAAGAAAAATGAACAATAACAAACACGGTTGGGATGTAACGGAATACAAGTATTCGTAATGCGTATTCAGAAGTGCCTGCATTCAGTCTACATAAAAAGAATAAAGTTATTTTCTAAATTTTTTAGAACAATACTTCTAGAATGCACACAAACATTTTAAAATGCAATTTTTAAAAGAAACGCTTTCAAATTTTATTAATTAGCCATTTTAAAGCTACACTATGTATGTTTTGAAAATCTGCAGACCTCTGAAATATGTGATTCCATGCAACATGCAGAAGAACATTTTGTGATGTTGGTTGCATTTCGGACCCAACAAGCAGATGAATCTGATGATTGCAAGCACAGTGAACTCAATGAAAACTCGGTGAAGGATGTGTTTTCCGAGGATTGTCTGTTGTTACTATTACTGCTGTTCCTACTGTTCTGACTGTTGTCATCATATCTTCATCAGAATAATGTTGATTTTGCATTTAAGGCCGAAACATTGAACCAAAACTATACTGACTTTGTGCATGTGAAGTTAATACATATTAATAAACAAGATGTACGTCATGGTAAATTTACATGGTAAAAACTTCATCATTATTTCAGGCCTTACGCAATGACTTGCAGCAGCACATGCACACCGTATGTTAGCATTTTTTTTCTCCTTATTCCGTAATTCTACTTCTTTCAATATGAACAAAAAAATCTTACATAGTGCAGCTTTAAAATCGGTGAAAGGCATATAGCTTCACAAATATTGAACATCCTGCTAAAGTACAGGTAGACTAATTGATCAAATAAACAACTAATTTCTAAACTCTTTTGAGGGATGGTAAACTGAACGATCTCCTCAGTAGTGGAGCTTAAGCTTAAGCATCTGTACTATCTTCTGTGTGCATTTCATAGCATGATGTTATGTACATATCATGTACATGTCACATGTCATATAGTCAAGATTTTGTTATTTGGACATTTGGAATTCATATCCCATACGACAGACAGCAGCCCTGCTTGGGGAGTTTTGGGAGTAACAGCCAAAACAAAGAAAAGTAACAGTTTGAATTAAGTAAATTAATTCCTTTTTTCAAAGTATTCTGCCCAGCTCTAACAACTAACACAGTTTGTAAAGAGGATAGAATTGCATGTCAGAGTCACGGTATTCTTCAAACACTCTTTTCTTCAGCTCTTTTTCTCCAGAGAGGCGTCAATGTACCATGAATGTGGCCACAAAATCCTTGCAGGCAGTGAAGCTCAGTTTTAACTGACTGAGCATGAACAGTAAGTGCTGTTTGCACAGTGGCTGCTCTCTGCTGAGGCGGCTGCTGTTAGATTAGGTTTTTGTGTTCCTATCAGAGTTACACATCATCACTGAGACTGCTGTGGATAATCAAGTCTCGCAAATGCACCCTGATGAGGGATGGCTAGAGCTTTCCTGTGGCCAAGAAGTACAGGAAGAGAGAGATTTCCTTATGGAATTGATATTTGAAGTGGCCCACAAATGGCTGATAATGGTATCTGTGGAGGCCTCTGATTGATGACATCTCACCTCCGTGCTAATCACGGGCAGCTGTTTTCTGTGGAGCAGCTTCGACTCTTGGAGGCTTCATGGTGGATCTAATTTCTGTGGAAAGAGAAAAAAAGATAATAATGGCAAATAAAACCCGTCCTTCAGTCTCTGGCAGCAAGCAAGAAGCCTTGGGCCAAAAGAATGAGCAGTCCTTGAATCATTCACTGAGGGAGGAAAAACAACATTAAGAACTAATACATTTAACGTATTGCTTTGGACAATGTACCTGTTAAAGTCGTTACAATCTATAGTTTCACACGATTCTGCTGGAGCTCATGTGTACATTTCACATGATTCTGATCATAGGGATTTAGTACCAGGAATCTCCACTCCTATCTAGTTACACATTAGGTCTAGCATGCCACATTTTATATTGTGATATCATGGGATAAACAGGGTGTGTTGTTTAACATGTGATTTATATTATGAAATCCTTAGTTATGGCAATGATCAGCCAGGCCTGCTATGATAGGGAGATATTTCAGCTTTGGAATGCATTTTCTTTGGGATTTGAGACCATGCTTAAGTGTCAAGGAGATAGCATGCAGATATTCTTCACAAATGCAGTAGTGGTTATATTTCTACTCTGTTATCATAGGCTGCTGGCAGTATCAAGATAGATGACTCATTTCTATAGTAGAAAAAAAAGAATAAGACTCTTTAGGAGGAAAGATAATAGTAAGAATCCTTTGTACTGTAAGTCTTGAATAGATAAGATGAAGAGTAGAAGAAGAAGAAGCTTGGTTATCATATACATTTTATATATTTGAGTAAACTATGTATGTAAATATAGTGAAACTGCTTTTACGGATACATAGTAGTATAATTCCTTTCCACAGTTTATTGTAAACTTATCACTGTCCCAAAAAAAGCCTTAACTTTGAAAGGAACTTAATGGAACAAGATTTTTTCCGAAGTAATTTTGGAGTATTTCCATTGCTTCATTCATCATAAAAGTTTAACAAATTGTAAAGGCCCTCTGACATCTTCAAATTAATGTAAAAAAAACATAAATAAATATTTTTAAATAAAAAGTTTTTTTTTTTTTTTTCTGACAGCGATGATATATTTAGATCCATGGGTTTTATGTTGCATATCCTGCATGGCCCAATATAATGGAAATGTGATTAAAAAAAACATATTTTGATGGATTTTCCCTTTTTTCTTCATTATAAAGAATGAGGCAACTGGTCTGATCTGAGTTTTACCAGCTTGGCTCTCTGATTACTTTGGCTTCCTTGCTGTTCTGCTTTAGTGTTTTAGGAGTTCAGCTCCTCATCAGTGGCTGCACTCATTACTGTTTACTTTGTCTGTTTTTCTTCTTTAGACTCCATATGCATCCAAGGTTTTGACCCCAGCCTGGGAATTATCACCCCCATTAACCCCATGATGGCAGGAATCAGTCTGGTGCCTCCCCCACCTGTGCAGCCTGAGCTACCTGTCATCAAGGAAATTATCCATTGCAAGAGCTGCACGCTCTTCCCTCAAAACCCCAGTAAGAGTTCATGCTGCTCTCTGCATGAGCAAATCTCATCTCAAATCGCATCACATCTTTCTATTTAAAAAAAGTCTAATTCAGTCTTTAGTAAAATGTGATGTTTGATGTTTCTCCCTGTGTACCCTGCAGATCTCCCACCCCCATCCACAAGAGAGCGGCCTCCAGGCTGTAAAACAGTTTTCGTTGGTGGACTTCCTGAGAATGCCAGCGAGGAGATTATCCGAGAGGTGTTTGACCAATGTGGGGAAATCGTTGCCATCCGCAAAAGCAAGAAAAACTTCTGCCACATCCGCTTCAGTGAGGAGTTTATGGTGGACAAGGCCCTTTATCTGTCTGGTTTGTGTTTGATTTGTATGACAAAACTCATAATAAAATGCATTTTGCCTTTTATTTCGGTAAAATCATTATGCACCTTCACTTGACTTCACATTTCATTTACGTCTGCTGCACAATTTCTGATCACGGGAGGTTTGAGCTAAGAAAGATAAGCTAAGACTCACGCGACAGCCAGTTAGAGATGCTGAGAAGGACTTTTTCACAATAATTCTTTTACAAAGAATGTTTTAAAACTAAGCTCTTAAAGGTCCTATTTAATCTGGATAATTCATCAAACTAGCTGTCAGCAGCCGATTTATAAAAGCTAACTTAGCTGACTTTTCCTAACATTATTCTGCAACATTGTGTGTCATTAGACATCATATTGAAATGTGTATTAGTAGTAACCCAGCTAAAGTTTGCTTTACCTTAGATCCAGCATGTTAATAGCTTTGACATTGAGCTGGGAGTGCGGACTTACACATACTTTAATCCAAAACCTTTTCATCTTGAGAGTGAAATACAAACAGCACTGCCCTCTAAATGATCAGGATAGCATGTATCTGAATGTTACTTGTGCTGGGACTCCTGGGAAAGAATGATGTAAAAACACGTAATATCTTTGGATGAGTTTTTGGTAACACTTGATTTGAACCCTGCTACATACCATGCCGTAAATATGTCATGGCAAAAATTATATGCACATAATATTCACAAAATTTTGTTCATTATTATCATAGCATAATGTTACTATTGCCAGTTTTTGTCATTACAGAAGCCAACATTTTGATGTCATTACAGTTTGTCATATGCTGATTTTTGCTAGGTGTATTGTAGTTATCCATCATGACATCACCATGTTTTATAACTAGACACCATCTGTCATGACAAGTCAACACAGCAAACAAAATCTGCTATCACATGTTTATGGCATGGTTATGTCAATGTTATGAGGCAGGGTTTAAGGGAAAGGTGACCAGTTTTTTTTAGCACACTGGAATGTGATCTGAGTGTGGGTTTGTCATGGCTGTGTTTGATGCGGGTTATCTTAGGCTACCGGATGCGCATCGGCTCCAGCACGGACAAGAAGGATTCAGGCCGCATACATGTGGACTTTGCTCAGGCGAGGGATGACTTGTACGAGTGGGAGTGCAAACAGAGGTTACTGGCGCGAGAAGAACGTCATCGGCGTAAAATCCAGGAGGATCGTCTGAGACCCCCCTCTCCCCCTCCCGTCATGCACTATTCTGAGCACGAGGCGGGCCTGTTGGCTGAAAGACTGAAAGGTATGGATTTCTTTTGAAAGTGCTGCCATAATCACTGAGGCTGGGAGTCATCAGGAGATTTATCATCATTACCATAACTTAGAAACACAGTTCAGGTGGAAGATCTCCCTAGCAGCTGCTCTGGGCTGCTTTACAAAGTTCAGAGTAGTGTGATGACCTGATCTGCCGTGTCTGCTGTTTTATACACCTTCCAGCCATGCCTGACGGTTCTCTGATGATGTAATGGGTGTTACTGTAATGATTGGCTGCCTGGCTGTAAGTCCCTTGATGCTCCACAGATCAGTCTTCTCCACTCTCTGCAGCTGCCACCCAAACAGCCACAGCTGTTGTTTGTTCTGTAGGGCTGGTGCGCTTTTGTGTTGAGCTGGTCCCATTAGTGGCCCATAGTGAATATTCACTTGAAAAGCTTCATACCTCTAGACTAAACACAGCGCCAAAAGGCTCTTCCAGACTTTAGTAGATAATAGTGATTCATTTTTAGGGAGTATAAAGCTCAGTCAGCTGTTTGCTCATTTATAAATAGCTTTGCTTTAAATGCATTGTTAATCATAGATAAAACTGTCCAGGTTTGGTGTGGAATTCAAAGCATTGTAGCATGTCAAGATCTCAAAGGAGTGTTGTGATCATTTCACAAAATTCAAAGGTCCTGTCAGTATAAAAAACATACTGCTGAAACTTCATTCTTTAGCAGAGAGGTTGGTTAATTAATTAAACAGTCAACATCCTCAAATCAGTTCAAGACATGTCTGTTTACTTCAGCTTTTCAATAAAAAATGTTTTATTTGTTGTCTTATATATTTCTATTATATAATTTCTCCCCTATATCTTCTAATATTATACTAATAATTTATTTGATCGTTTGAGTATTAGACTTTGTTTTAATTTTCATTATTTCTTGATAAGCATGTTGAGCTGCACTTAAGTATGAAAGGTGCTGCATAAGTAGTTTTATGCAATAATAATAATATAATAATACATGTTGTTATAATAAATATATTATTATAATAATACTTATTATTTTTATTGTTGTTGTTGTTGTTGATTATGTTGATGATGTTGATGATGATGGTTGGGCATCTATATATATTTTTTTTCGGACAGCTTTATGTTATAAATTTTATACCAAAAATATGTCTGATAAATGAATAGAAAATGTAAATATGAAGCTGAAAATGAAGTATTTGTAATTATCAGCCTTAGAGGTGAATTTTGTCCTGGGTTCGTGCAGTGTGTGGGTTCCCTTTGTGTTGCTTGAATAAACCCTATTGATTTTTACCTCATGCCTCAGGGTGATTTTCCAGGTACCAGAAATTGTTTTTCTAAACCTGGAACCCAGCATTTCTCTGTTGCTTGCCAGCAGACAAACTAAATCTATGCCTTCTTCATTCTTAAAGGGGAATTCCACAGTTTTTTTCAAAATGTCTGTCTAATTCAGTTGTTAAGATGTAAACACAGTCATCCAGAGAGGTTTGATATGAATTGCTCCATTGTGGAGAAACTTGCTGTCTCAGAATCTGTTAGAGGCTGTACACAATGGTGGTAATAGGAACCAGATATCCGGAGTGTTTAATACCTCTGAAAGCTACCTCACATAAAGTCTGATTTACCACCATGACATACCACGTGTAGGTTCGCGGGTCATGTTGGCTAGCAAATAAACTGGCTATATTTGCAATGTAGACATTAAGACCACTGGTTCCTATCACCACCACTGTAAAACACTCAATGTGTTTTCTCTACAGTGCACCATTTTACATCAAAACCTTCTGAATTATGAAGTCATTTTGAAAAATCTGTGGAATTCTCTGTGAAATTTAACGCCTTCCTTGTCTACCGAATATGCATCATAAACAACAAATGACTGAGCTGATGCTGCTGTTCTTCTTACCAGCACTTTCATTTTGTTAAGGATTTTATACTGATATTATTGTGTTTCCATCAATGTCCAGTGCATCACATGCTTTCACATTTCACACACAGTACTTCATCAAATACTCTCCTGGCTCAAAGCTAATATTTTCCTGTGCTTTGTTTTGATTAGAGGAACCCTCAGGTAGACAGCAGGTTTATGGCAAAGACTGTCTTTTCCATGCTTCTCAGAAACTCTGTCCTCTCTGGAGAGATTTCTGCTTTCATTTAGATGATGGGAACTCAACTGCAACCCCCACCTCATCAGCAATCAGGGCACACTGTCAAGCCTTTCCCATTCTGTCTGTGTGCCGCATCCTTTCCACTATGCTCTCTTGTATGTTAATTGAGCCCAAAGGGCATCAGATAAAGCATCTCTATGTCTGACACAACTCAGTATTCTTCCTGGCACCGGAACACTTCACTCTCTATCAAAACCTTGGTTTAAATTTGGTTCAGGCTGCTCCATTTAATTTTATACTACGCTAATATTTACAGGCAACAAATATCAGAGTGCCTCTTTAAAATCTGAGCAGCATGCAGACAGACGGGAAGCTTTTGTTCCTTTTACAGACACTGTGGTGTAAAACATCAGGGTGCACTCCCGCACTAGAACATTTACGTGTAATACAGTGGCAGAAGGCCATCAGAAAGGCACCTCTCAGTAAGAGGGCAGCGTTTGAAAGCCATTCTCAAGCGTGGTTGTGTTAATACAGTGTTTTCTCCTCCCTGCTTCTCATTTTTTCTTTTGGCTCTTTCAGTGTCCCTGTTGTCTGATCCATCTTTTTCCACCTACTGTCCTCAGCGCTGCAGTTGAAGGCATTATTTGTTTTTGTTAATACCATTCATTCCAACAGCCTCTGGTTAATGCTTTCTCACTTCAAGCGAATAAGCACATTAATCACGTTCATTACTGCTCTATACAGACTCAGAAAACATAAATGTGGCAGCTTCATAAAAATAAGCCAATAACCCGACACTAAGCATTTCTGTTTTTGTTGGCACTAAACACCTGGTAACATGGTGACTGTCACAGGGGTTGAGTAACAGCGAGGGCAGAGGGGGATGCTGGGGGATTTTGAGGGAGGGTGTGGAGATTTACACATTTACATTTTCTGTCATGGCCCTCATTAGTGGTGGGGGTGGTGGCTGTGCAGTCTCATTTGACTGAGGGAATTATTTTTACTCCTGTCAAATGGCATTCTTGCCCTGGGACCAGGAGAATTCTATTAGCTTTAATTAGCTGGGAAGGCAGAGTGCCACCTGAATGGCATATCTGCTCGCTCTCTCTCTCTCTCTCTCTCTCTCTCTCTCTCAAGCAACTACATCAGAAGCCTGACGTCCCCTGGGTTCCTTGCCAAACATAGATTACATATCAAGGCTGAGAGTAATATTTGGTCAATTGCATATAGGATTCAGATGCTTAGAATATAGAGAGATTATCGCCTCCTGTTTTCCATATATGCAGTGGGGAAACATGTAATTGATGTATCACTTATTATACAGTGGAATTCATAGTCCAGGATATTGTTTCCTTTCCCCGCAGAAATAGCTTCCTGGTCAAAAGCACATGTCCGGGGTGGAGAAACTAATATAAGGGTGTTGCATATAGGATCTCATTATGGGGGTTGTGTAATTTACTACTGGCCTTATAATGTCTGCTCTGGCTCGGTGGCAAATTTCAATTATTCTTGCAATTTCTGTAATGCATTTCAAAGTGGTCTGCAGAGACCAGATTACTGAAGCCTGAGAGAGGCCACACTCAAAGCCTCTGCCGCAGACGCCCGACCCAGAATTGTACTTCATGTTAAGGCATCAAGGCACGCTGTGCTGTTTACCCACTCATAGGCTACAATCCAGCTTCAAGAGTAAATCTTACATTGTCACATTACCAGAGAGTAAACTGACATTTGAATTTGTAAGAACCATGTTCTTCCACCTTTTCTACAGATGACAACAAGTTCAGCGAGGCAATAGCTGTGCTGTTCACGTGGATAGAAAGGGGTGAAGTGAACCGGCGCACCGCCAACCACTTCTACTCCATGATCCAATCGGCCAACAGCCACGTGCGGCGCCTCATGAACGAGAAGGCCCAGCATGAAGAGGAGATGGAACTGGCCAAAGAGCATTTCAAGAACTCGCTGCTCGCCATCCTCACACAATGTAAGACACAGCCTGCATGCTGCTTACCAGGAGATGTTCATCTAGGGTTGCCATGACAACGGTACATCCTTTGTGCAGGCTGAGATTATGCAAGATTCTTAAGGATGCTTAGCCTCTGATCTGATCGTTGAGGCTTTTATGTTCTTCTCAACATTGCCAGTATGTAAAGATCAGCCATTTGTAAATGCCTGCATCTAGCAGTTATGCTGTAGTGTAATGACACACAAAGTAGTGTTCACTTTTTTTATGCGTGACACAACCACCTCATTTGTTCTTTCGAAGAATTTCAGACGTTCAGAGGTAAACAATAAACGAATGAAAAAGCAAAAGATGAGATTCAGACCTAGTCCCCTAAGTCATTGCGACTCTAGCCATAGCCCAGAGAATGGCCCAGGGTAAGTACAGTCTCAATGGAAGCAGTCTGTCCTCATAGCAGGGATGGAGCTGTTCAACTTAATGTACAGGTAGGCCAAAATCAGATTCCCTCATCTTTTGAGACATGCAGAGCAGCTGGAGGTACTACTTGAACCAATAACAGCCACAGAGAAGATCACAAATCAATAACATCCACTGAGGAACTCATTATTGAGACTTTCATACAGAATGTATGGATGGAATGCAAGACGATCTGAGTAGGTGTGATGGTGAAATACATCCATAACTGTGCATGGCAGCTTGGCTACAGCAAAAGACATAACTGTTTTCTTTTATCTTTCTTTAAAGTCAATGAAATAGTAAGAGATAGGAATTAAAGTAATACTGGTTATGGTAAAGAACGTTTATTAATTATTACAGCTTTGATGTCTCTAAGCTTATGTTTTGTCTTCTGAACATCACACCAGTAGAAATTTATAGTCAAATCGAAGCAAAACAGAAGGCAACATTTTACAAGAGGTAGAAATTCAGTGAGCATTCGGTACCCTGAAACCAAATAAAAAATTCATACTTTGTCATTGTAATGCAAAAATATGGAACATTCATTTCAACTGAAGCTCCCTGTCAACTCTCCTTAATACTACTATTACAAAGCATTTGACTGCAAGCAGAATATTCCACCCATTGTAGTCTGTTGCCTTCCTCAGTCCTAAAGGATTTGATTCAGCAGGTAATAAGATGTAAGTACAATAGAGCAGGCACTATCAGGAACCTCGCTGGTGCTAGAACAGCAGTTGGAGGTTTCTGGTGTGTGGCTCTAGCTGGCAGTGGTGCAGAGCTTTACATAAATGGCTTGTCTTGTCTGACTTCCTTATCCACCAAAGTTGAGCAGATTACGGCCGTATTCAGCGCTGCCACCAGACAAAAGGCATGGGACCATTTCTCAAAAGCACAGCGCAAGAACATAGACATTTGGCGAAAGCAGTGCGAGGTTGGTACATCTCCTCCCTTCTTGTCATGCTGACTCCACAGGCTACATTGGTGCTCCAGCTGCTAATGTGAATGTGGCTCTTGTGGCTGTTCATTATGCTCATTACCAATGTAGCCTGTCCATAACTATTGTGGTCTCACAAATAAACCATCCTGGATTTCTGATTCTGGTCTCTCGCTCTGCAACACAGTCAATATCTGCTAGAAAGTCAAGTACCTCTTAAGTTGCCAAGGCAACAGATGCTTCCAGGGCTAAAATGATAGTCATCAATGATAAACTTGGATTAGTTATTCATAACTCATCAAATTTGTATTACATCTCTTTACATCTCTAGGGCTTAAAAAAGTGATATAGCTCTTTGATCTGGCTATGAAAAGCCATCCTAATGAAGTTTGGCACTTTCTAGATTCAGCATTTTCACAAAACATCTACATGGTGCCTATGATTTTTCTCTGAGCGTCTACAACCTTACCTTCCTCCAAACTGGCTATAGACTGTAGAGGTACTTTATTTGTGAATCATCTTGTTATGGTCCTTTTCCATAACTCGATGCCCAAATATATATAAATGCAGTGAGTGAGTGGGATGTTTTTTTCTGTGAGGACCAAAAAAAAATGAGACCCCTTTGAACGAAATACACTATTTGTATTCATGCAGTTCTATAAGACCAGTCATTGAAAGGAAACTTCCCATTTAAGTTCACAGTACACCCAGAGGTAAGAGGCTGCTTTTCTGAAGGTGACTTTGGTGCAGTGACAGGCCAAAATCAGTCATGATGCCACCACTGTGAAATCGGGGTGATGTTTGAGGGACTTTAGCTGAACTGTATGTCATACTATAACATCATTTTTCTTCAGTTACCAGCAGTTCTTTCTGTTGTGACAGAAAGAAATGTAGTATCAGATATGATCTACTTATCTGCATCAGAGCTTTTAGAAAAGTCAGATCAAAGATAAGGCAATGTGGAACTAGAACAGAGCATCACTAAGGATATTTATTGTGTCTAGGCTGCAGGATTTCACAGCAGTGGCATTAAACATCCTCGCCACTGATCCCTATAATGACTATCAGAGGATCGGCGCGCCTGGAAGTTTGTGTAATGTGATTTTTACGCTCTCTTTTCAGTACCAGACAAATGGAGCATCCAAACTTTTGTTATCACGCACAGCTGCGAGATGGCACATTCTTGGCTTTTTCCTTAGGCTGTGTTTCAGACTCACCAAATCAGTCACCAAGGCTGTGTGCTTGCCACTGTCTGTTATTTTGTCGCTGTTAAGTCCAATGACTAAAGATACTTTGCATTGCTTATATTTTACAGTCTCCTTTATGCTGTAGGAGCTAAGTAAATCTCAAGATAGTTACACATTTCTTTAGAATATGATGTTGTTTGTGGTATAGACATTTGTCTCTGAGGCTGTATTGCTCTTTCTGGGAGTAACTAACAAATCATTAAATATTAAAGTCGTGTTATGGCACGATGTCTAGGACAGCTGCCACTAATGGGGTGTGTGCATGTGTGTATGTGTCTCTGTGTGTGTGTTTATGATTATGGTGTGCTAGGAGCTGAGGAATGCCCACAGTGAGGAGATAATGGGAATCAGGAGGGAAGAAGAAATGGAGATGTCAGATGAGGAATTGGAAGAAAACCCCTGTAAGAAGATCCGAATGGACGACTCAGGTATGATCGCAACAATCAGGACTTGTATACTAGCCATTGTCCTTAAAAAATTACCATTGGAATTATGTTGCTACCAGCTATTAAATGTTGATTCTTTTTTCTGACCTTCAATGCCATAAAATGGTGATGTGATTCAGTGTCAAACAGTCTTTCTAGAAGCCTATAAAATAATGAATCCCATCCTGAGCATAGCGTTTACTTGAAACTCAACAGTCATATCCTGCAGATAATCTCGAGGAAAATATTTATTTATTTATTTGAGCTGGGGTGTCAGAATGAGTCATTGAACCATCTAGTTTTATGTTTTCCATTTCAAATTTGATTAAGAATGATTCCTCCTGCAGAGCCCAGATGTAGAAACTGTCTAGGGATTCAGAGCTTAGTGATATTTCATGATCTGTCATAACATGGCAGCACAGAATCCTTAAGTAGAATTTTGCATGCCATGAAAAAACTGGGCTATTTAATAGCCAAATTCAGTTCATTTTTATGTTTTTTTTTTAACAGAAAACTGTCATGAAGCTGATTTATTAATATTCAGGTCAGAAACCAAAGAATGCATGATAAGGGCAACACATGGAAAAATAATTGATTTAGATGTTTCATTAACCTTGCAGAGCGATACTACAAGGACAAAGCTGTTCAAAAATGTTATACTGCTACATTTATGCTATATATTATTCTGATCACTTACAGCATATTGTAACAGAGGCTGACTTATCCCCATCCACCTATTTCTATACATTTCTTGCAAGCCAGTTATAACGTACTGTAATGCCTTTTGGCCCTTTTTGTGCACCTGCAAAGAGGGACAATAAGTGTACACTGTGTTTAGTCGTGTTTAGCAATGTTCAGCAGCACTGCTGTGTTTGATACACTTGTACTAGCACAACACAGACCAACATGTCACTACCATTTTGGCATCACCGCTATGCAAAGAATGGTCCACTACTCCAATAATATCTGGTCAGTGGTGGTCCTATGGTGGTATTTTTTCATTGATGGACAGGTAGGGGTGTAGTGACAAATTGTGCATCGACAGATGGGCTACAAAATTGTCAATCTATAAAGTACACTTATGTGGCAGATATACCTGATAAAATAGCCATTGACTATGAGTAATCTATGTGATGTTTGCATTATTTTGTACATCCCATGTATCATTGATGTCCAAAGAAAAACTTGTATCTCCAAAATAGTAACTTTACAGGAGAAGACAGAAGATGTGTTCAAATTATGTAGAAAAAAATCACGTTTTTCTTTGGACAGTAATGATGTGTCTGTGACAAAGTTGCTGGACCAACAGAAATGGCCAAAGGTTACATGCAAAAAATCTCATCAAATTAGATTAATATACATTAAAGTTAATAACGTTTAGTAACACTTTACTGAAGGGCAGCATTCATAAGACTATATGACACCTTCATAAAGCCCTCATGACAACTGACGTTATCATAGACTTTCTTCTTATTCCAACAAACGTCAGTGTCATAAAGGCAGCTTTTGTCCATTCTGATGTTATTTCATCTGAGCAATGGTTATGATAACTGACACTTGTTGTAATATGCCTTTATAAATGTATATATAGATGTACGTAATTTGTTATGTAGGTTTTGTGTAGCTTTATGAATACTATCCTTCACTCATTGTGCTTTTTTGCTTGCTCAACAAAGCCACCATTTCGGAGATTTTGTTGCAGCAGGAATATGATAAAATGTGCATGTCTGTGCTATCTTTGGCATGGCTGACAGCAAGTTCCTTTCTCTCTCTCTCTGTGTGCAGCTTTGGCTGCGCAGTCATGCGCCCTGCGAGAGGAAAATGACAGTCTGCGCTGGCAGCTGGACGCCTACAGGAATGAGGTGGAGCTGCTGAAGAAAGAGCAGGGCAAAGCCCACCGCTCTGAGGAAGACCACACCCATGAACAACAGCTCCATTTCCTCCAGCAGACCATGCACAGCATGCAGCAGGTAACACACACTCACACCCACAAGCACATTAACACACCCGGAGGCGTGTTCACACTTACATGCATCTTATACTCATACCTTTAAAACAGTTCTGATAGCGCCAGTGATTTACATCAGAGAAGACGCTACCCGTACTTACACTTTACTCCTGTTAACACACACTCACTCAGTCCTTCGATACCAGACCCATTTCACTCTGATATACGACAACATGGTTACCCTCTTTACACTGAGCTTACCTGCTAGTGGAAGTGTTGGAAGCTTTCTGTATCTACTCTACCTGAATTAATGTCTGTATAAGGCAACCTCCACTACCTCTCTATAAAAGCATGAGGAGCATCTCACTCTCTCTCTCCCTCACTGTATTTCTTCTGTTAGTTTCATCTTGTATCTCCTTTTGCTTGCCACACATCATGCACCCGATCAAGAACTAAGCTTTTCAAAAGATTCACTATGGCTGGGAAAGTGTTCGGAAAACCACTTTTTAATATCAATGTGCTCAGGAAGGAACAGAATATAATTAACACTCCTTCTCACCCTCTTCGCTCAAAGTTTAAACTGCTTCCTTCTGGCTGACAATTTAAGATTCCAAAAGTCGCCAGAAACATATGTTAAAGTCATTTTCCCTACAAGCTATACAGGCATTAAATAGTTATAGGTAGGCTTTTTCCCCATTTAAATGATGTTGATTACCTTACAGTCCACATCCCTTTTTTTGGTTAAACCTTTCAATGCTGAGGCAAAAATCTTCTGCTTCTGCCATTTAATCTAGCCTCCTTTAATAATGTGATTTTGTAATGATGCACTTATTGCATTTATTTTGATATCGTCACTGTCATATCAAAACCATGTATCTCTGAGTAATTTTCCTACATCATTTGGAGCTGCCCTTTATATCGTGTGGACATTTTATGACGAACTGACTAACAGAAATGGTCCAAAATTGCTCTGAATAAAACCTTACAGTTATTACATTAATTCACATTAAAATTAAGAGCATGTTCGCCTTCTCCTATACAGTTACCATTTTTGCTCGGATGAAACAAAGCAATAACAAGCCCTTAATGATCTGAATTATGTTCTAAATATGTGCATACACTTGACAATTACAGTGCTTCCAACAGTAAAGGCAGCATCATGCTTCTTTTATATAGTGGTAGAAAACATGGTAGCGAACAAAAAGCTCCGATTCCACATGCTGCAGCTCTGCAGCTCTGACTGCAGATTTTAATGAGTTAATTGGAAATATCACCAAAATCTCTGAATGAATTTCTGGCAAGGTGTTAAGTATGATAGGGTTACATTTTACTCTACTTGATTTTATAATACTTGAATCTGAGTGAATGTCATGAAACCTGCATACCTATATTCAGCTGAAAATTGTCTGATTTTCTGGACTGAGGTCTAATAGTACCCTCATTTTCGGTGGAAAATGCAATTTGAACAAGGCTACACTGCGTCTGTGTCTTCAGAACTGACTACATTAGCAGTGTTTTGATTGGTGTGCCATTTGTAGAAACTAAGCTACGGTGTAATAAAACTCTGATCTAATGGTTGTGTTAATCTGGATTTGCTGAGAATATTTGTTTATCAACATATAGCATGGGCTTGTTTTCACTGGCAGCTTGTTTATTATCTGTTAAGATATTTCCTGCCTTTACCTCTTTCACATCAATGAGCGCACATGCACATACAGTCACTTTTTCAGGTAGCAATCGAGCTCAAGTGTCCTTCAGTTTTCAATGTGCGATTGAGTTAGATCCCTGCTGTTAATTGGGATTTATTTTTTTACGTTCATTCTCTACATTTAGAGGCAGTACTATGTCATTGCCTGCTGCCTTTTGTTCTTCATGATGCTGCCTGTCTCCACAGCAACTCTTGCGGCTCCAGGAGGAACTGAAGAGTAAAGAGCTGGAGCTGGAGCAGGCCCGAGATGAGCAGCGCTACCTGGAGGGAGAGGTCTTCAGCCTCAGAGAGAAGGTAAGACTAGCATATAAAAAGTTGAAGGAATTGTTTAGATAAAATTAAAATTTATGCAATTTTCAATTGCAATCAACCGAAACATGTTTGGTGTTTGCTTCATTAGTTTTGCACTGGAGCAAATGTAGCTAACCAGTAATGGAAGCTTTTACCCCATTGCACAAGTACAGACAAAATGCACAAAGGCACAGAGAAACTGAGGCTTCAGGATGGCTGCTGCTGTATTTTTAGCTATGTGATATCCTTTTGTTTTATAGATAACAGTATGTCATAGTGTCAGAAACTGCATAAACAAGTCTATTTGAGGTTTATTAATAGTTTGAACATGATTTGAGGCAAGTGTGTGATGATTTAGGCATGCTGTCATTCTTACTTAATTCACATTGTTCCTCACTGTTACTGGTTGGCAGTTTTCTTTGTGTAATTCTTTTGTTAACTCTTTAAGGCAGGTGCAAAAACATGGCTATTTCTGCAGTTTAATCTGCTCCTCTCCATTGTTGTTGCTTTTATTTGATGTATAAAGAACAGGATTTATATTTAGTTTGTCTCAGAAACTATATTTTTGACAAAGAAAGCACATGAATAGGAATATGTCACAGACCAGTAGCATTTAATAATTTCTCTGATTAAACAAGACAGTAAAAAGCACTTAGCAATTTGAACTGTGATCTGACTGAGCTGGTGTGCACAGAAAAAATCAGCACCTCCAACAGTAAAGTGGCAGAAAACATGTAGCACACAGAAAGCTCAGATTCTACACGCTGATATGCTTCACTGTAGCCATTGTGTGCATACTCACACCATAAGTCCTCTGGCAGATTTAAACAAGCGAAGGAGGCCATTGGCAAATTCTCAGAGTGGTTTGCCAGTGTGACTCTCGGTTTGATAGCGTTAATACTTTTCATGAAAAAGTTCTGAAATTCTCAGTATTCAGTCCATTGCTGCTCTCACAAGGACAGACATCTGTCTCATAAAGCAAAAGTGGGGCACTTTTTGACAAATAAAAGAAAAATGTAATAAATAGCTAAATATTTTCTTTAGACAATTCACCATGTCCCAATAACAAAATCTTGTGACTTTGACTATAATGTTGGCTATGTGATTTTCAGTTAATAACATGTATGTAACATCATGCCACAAAATGCATGCAGTACAACACTGATGCTAAGCTTATGACTCTACGGAAATCAGTCATCCCTCAAAAGAGCTTAGTAACACTAGGATTAATAATGGGCTCATTACTTTGATTTACCAGTCTACTCAGGCTTTAACAGGAACTTCAGTGCTTGTTAAAAAGACGTTTGTTGAGTTCCTCTTTAGAGTCTGTTGAGCATGTTTGCTTTTAAAATAGTTAATAATCAAGAACTGATGGTGTTTCATTTAAAGATGGTATGTTTTATTAGTTAGTGAGTAAGTATTCTAACGTTTTCTCTTAGAAGTTTAAAACGTAACTGTTTTCTGAATAGCACTTTTTCAAAATCTAACTAGAACTGAGTACAGACACTTCATTTCTGTATTCTGAATATGCATTCCCAGTACTTGTAATCTGTTACATCCCAGTCCTCTAGGAGGCTTGTTTACGAAATGCAACCATTTAACCTACTTACAGTTGTCTTTTTCATTATCTTTTACTGATATAAACCGTCTTTAGAGCACGTTTCTGGTGAGAGATTTTCCAGTTTGGCACCAATGCCTCTCTCTGCCTCTCTTCATGGGTGACAGTAGGAGGCCAGTGTGCAGCCTGGGGTCACTCAGTGTCCTCACCCTCTCTCTGGGAGAGCAGCTACATATGGCAGCAGCAGAGCTCCACACACACAACCCTACACACTGTTCTAAATAGAAAAGTCTGTCTTAAAACTTTCATAACATGATGGATCTGAACTGCTGTGTCTGGAGGGGAGAACCCAGCACAGAAAAAAACATTTTTTTTTTTACCTCCATTATGCTTTGCTGAGGCTGACTCACTAAGACCATGCCTTGCCTTACTTACTGCCTATGAACTCATGTTCCCTGTTCGACGGTTTCATGCTCTTAGGTCCACACACGTCTGGTCTAAACATGTAGACCAGACGTCACCAACCCTGGTCCTGGAGATTTACCATCCTGTAAAGTCTAGTTTGAACCAAAATCTGTCACACCTGCTCCAGCAGATTAGCTGCTTGAGAAGTCCTTGATGAGCATGTTAGATGAAGGTTGGAACTAGAAACTCTGCAGGAAAGTAGATCTCCCGAACCAGAGTTGGTGACCGACCACTGTTGTAGACCATATAGAAATCATACCTTACTATACGTTGCGTGCATTCATGTAGCCCACACAGAGCTACTACAAATGAAGCCACTGTTATGGCTTCCGTACTGCTGCGCTGCTCAACATGATACCTCAACATTTGTGTGAGCACGGTGGTTTACTCAGGAGCATACAATAAAAGCCATGCTTGTTTACTCTGACTGCAGACATTGGTTGGCATGAATGTTATTTGACTGAGATAATAGGAACATCAATATGTAGCGGAGTTCCTGCAGAGTCTGTGGTGTATCGTGCTCCTAACCAAAGAGATAACAGCCAGGTGATATATACTGCTTCAGCTCTAACATGGACCTGTTTTTATACATTCTAAACATCAGAAACTGTTATGACCTTGAGAAGATGCTCTGAGTCTGTCAGTACTATTTTATGGAAAGAATTATGTGTGTAGCTACAACAGGGTAAAGGTTTTTAGACTCCAGTTCCCTGAAAATCCATTAAATATTAAGCATATACATGACTATGCAAGTGCTACACAAACTCAGTGTCAAAGTTTCAAAGATGTTAAGTCACAGTGTTCACAAAGTTCCCGTACCATTTCCTCCTTGGCATTTTCTTCCTTCTACAGCACACCAATTGAGTGAATTTTTGTCTATTTCTCCTGACAGCTTCTGAACAGTTCAGACTCAGTGGAGGGGACAAACCACACCGCTGAAGCCCCTGAAAAGGTAAAGGTATTACTCAGCTGTCACTACACCACCACATGCTGGGTTTGCTGTTTTTATGTAATGCAGACCTGCTGTGGAGTGATAAATGTGAGAATGTAGACCAGATTTGCTTATGTGCCTTGAGTTGCTTAAAACTGAGTTACTGAAATGCTCTTTTATTTTATTTTTCTAGACAGTACTGTGCAAAAGTCACAGACCACCCTTCATATATTTTATTTCTAGTTAAAACGACCATTAAGTACAAATTCAGTATTCAGGAGACACCATATGGCCAAAAGTATGTGGACACACCTCCTAATTATTGAGTTCAGGTGTTTCAGCCACATGTATCACTAACAGATGTATAAACACAAGTACATAGCCATGTAATCCCCATATACAAACACTGGCAGCAGAATGAGTCATGCTGAAGAGCTCAGTGACTTTAAAGGTGGCACTGTCACAGGATGCCACCTTTGCCACAGGTCAGCTTTTTAAGCTTTTTCTTCCCTACTGCTCTGGTCAACTGTAAATGTTATTACTGTGAAATGGAAGCATCTGAGCTGTTGTTGCTACTAGTCTTGAAGCTGTAGACACTAAGTGGGGATGCCACGTGCTGAAGCGTGTAGCGTGTAAAAATTGCCTGTTTTCTGCTGCATCACTTATTATAGAGTTCGAAACTGCCCCTGGAAGTAACATGAGCAGAAGAAGTGAGTGTTGGGAGCTTCATGAAAAAGGGTTCCATGGTTGAGCAGCTGCACATAAGCCTAAGATCACTGCGCAATGCCGAGCATCGGCTGGAGTGGTGTAAAGCACGTCCCCGCTGGACTCTGGACTCAGTAGAAACGTACTATGAAGTGACGCTTCACTGTCTGGCAGTCTAATGGATGAATCTTGGCTGGCGGATGCCAGGAGAACACTAAAGACCTGAATGCATAGTGCCAACAACAAAGTTTGGTGGAGGAGGGATAATGTGCTGGGACTATTTCTCAAGCTGTGGGCAAGGCCCCTTAATGTTAATGCTAGAGCATACAAAGACATTTTAGACAATTATATGCTTCCAACTTTGTGGTAACAGTTCCAGCATGACTGTGCCCCTGTGCACAAAGTGAGGTCCATAGTTATTGTTTGACAAGCTTGGTGTGGAGGTACTTCAGTTGTCTGCACAGACCCCTGACTTTAACTACACTGAACACCTTTTGGATGAATTGTAGCATCGATTGTCAGTTAGGCCTTCTCGTCCAACATCAGTGCCTGACATCACAAATGTTCTTTTGATGGAATGACCACAAATTCCCTCAGATACACTCCAAAATCTTGTAGAAAGCCTTCCCAGAAGAGTGGAGGCTGATACAAAGAGAGGGCCAATTCCACATGAATGTACATGTTTTTGGAATGGGACGTCCAATAAGGTCATAAATGTGTGAAGATCAGGTGTTCACATGTTTTTGGCAATATAGTGTATTTCTGAGGAGATTAGGTATAAGATTATAATTCACTTTTACTGATATAAACCGTCTTTAGAGCACGTTTCTGTTGGGAGATTTTCCAGTTTGGCACCAATGCCTCTCTCTGTCTCTCTTCATGGGTGACAGCAGGAGGCCAATGTGCAGCCTGGGGTCACTCAGTGTCCTCACCCTCTCTCTGGGAGAGCAGCTACATATGGCAGCAGCAGAGCTCCACACACACAACCCTACACACTGTTCTAAATAGAAAAGTCTGTCTTAAAACTTTCATAACATGATGGATCTGAACTGCTGTGTCTGGAGGGGAGAACCCAGCACAGAAAAAAACATTTTTTTTTTACCTCCATTATGCTTTGCTGAGGCTGACTCACTAAGACCATGCCTTGCCTTACTTACTGCCTATGAACTCATGTTCCCTGTTCGACGGTTTCATGCTCTTAGGTCCACACACGTCTGGTCTAAACATGTAGACCAGAAGTCACCAACCCTGGTCCTGGAGATCTACCATCCTGTAAAGTATATGTTTTTGGAATGGGATGTCCAATAAGGTCATAAAGGTGTGAAGATCAGGTGTTCACATGTTTTTGGCAATATAGTGTATTTCTGAGGAGATTAGGTATAAGATAATTCACTTGCATAAGGAGAGAAATAAGAGAAAGTCATAAATAAGAAAATAAGAGAAAGTCAAAGTAGAAAATAAGTGAAAATTTTCCAGAACCAAAAAATATTAAGAATAAAGAAAATAGGACTCCTCACAAATCCCCTATGAACAATGGACACAATATGTATGTACCCTGCCTGGGTGAGGGTTACCGTGACCTACCCCTGGAGACCTGGGTAGTGTTCCTTGGCGAACACCTGGTGGCTGAGCCGGGCTTAGTCCGAAAAAGGCAATGTGGAGGGACCATTTGGCAGAAACTGGCTCTTGGCATGTGGAACATAACTTCACTGGTGGGGGAGGAGCTGAAGAAGATTTGCAATTTGCAAATCAAAAAAAAAAGGCTGCCCAGACCTCAACATCATTTAATGTGTTTGGGATTACTTAAAGCACGAGAAGCAAAAAAAAAAAAGACTGAACTTTGGTGTGGTGTGGAAAAAAACAAAAGCAAGTCTCCAAAGCAGAACACCTGAACACTAAATAATGAAGAATTGATATTATATTTATTTGTTGAGGATTCTATGTAATTTTCTGTTAAATATGTTTTCTGCTTTTTTCATGGTGCTGAAAAATGAATAACCAGAAATTGAAGGGTGGTCTCTGAGTGTACAGTACTGTATGTCATATTTTCTCTTGAATATCTTTTTGGTCAAATGTATTTGTCTGGTCTAGTTTATTACATGTTATACATGCACTGTGTGCACTCACCAAGACATGTTCTCAACAAAAGCCAACATGGTTTTGGCTTTTGATTCTGGCCAGCTTAGTTGAGTGGGGTTAATGCAGTTTGTTAAGAGCTAATACTCAATGTCAAAAATAATTGATAAAGAATAAGCCTAAGCTGAGTTTTCAATGCGGCTGCAGCTGCACATAAAAGTGGAAAAATTTTACAATGAAAATTTGACTAGATATACATGCCTTATGCACCACTGCCTCTATTTATGAGGTGGTCTTAAAGGGCATCTGAATAGATAGCTCAGTGTGTATGCTGTGCCAATTGCTATGATCCATGCTTTGATTCATCTTTTGTGTGACTTATGGCCTGACATCTTGAGCAGCCTCTGCAAAGGAAAGGCTGGTAAATGTCAATAAACATTGATTTCTCTGAAAGCAGAGCAGAACGCTTTGCATTTTTAGTACAGATTGGTCAGCATGAATGTGGCTGTTGCTTAGTCTGTAAGCCTCATCTGGATGTTCACTGCATTCTGTTTTGAATTCTATCTGGAGGTTCACTGCATTCTAATTCTTATTCTGTGCCTGATCCTTGTGTGTCTGCACATGTGTGTGTATGTATGTGTGAACAGGGTTTGAATGGCACTGCAGCGCTTTATCACCATCGGGAGAAGAACAATGAGGCGGTCATGCGAGGTCCTCTGAGATCAGAGAAAGAAGCTCTGTTGCTGGGTAATTACATGCTATCTCTGCTCTATAAAGCTGTACAGTCTTGATGTTTAAAACATCAGCAGCAGTGGGTGGATTGGGTAGAATATCGGATCAGCCCGGAAGACAGAGTCTTGGTCTGTCTCCTCTTAGAGTCAAAGTTAAAAGCATATAGTAGGCAGAGAACAGTATGTAATTTACTATGAGTGCTATGCCTTAGGCCTTACACTATCACTAACCTTTTTGAAGTGTTAAGTACTAGATTAAAGTGCTAAGATTTACTGTTCAAATCTGATTTTTCTGATGTGGTCTGATAGCCAACTACTCTGAAGTGGTCATGCTACTAAACTGACCAAGTGCAAAAGAACAGCGATCCGTCCAGCATGCTCATCCAGAAGTGCTCCGACAGAATGGAGGCAGCACACACAGTCACAGCTGTCCTCCATCTTTGCCTACAATTAATTCCTGCCAGCACAGAACTGAAATATTGAGCTGGATTGACAAATTTTTTTTATTAATTCTGCTCTGACTGTTCAGGCAGGGAGGTCAACACATCAGATATGCATGAGAATTTAGAACCACATATGAAAATGATTCATATTTGAATTGACAATGTCATATTCAGTGACTACTGTTTTTACATCTAAAACATCCAAAAAAAAAAATCAGACCTCTCTTTCTAAGGCAGTAAAATTATGAACATAGCAGTTGACCGCAGCCAGGTTTCCATGTGTCAAATTAAATTCAAATGAATAACAGAAATGTTGCAAAATATTATATGAACAAGGCTGTGTTTCCATCAGCTCTGAACAAGAGAATGAAACTCTACTTTTGTAAAATATTTCTGATAAATATAGGACACATTTACAGACAAATCTTTACTGTTGAGCAACTTTGTCTTACTGTATTGGTAAATTTTATGGCTATATTTTACATCGTAAGAGTGCAGGGACAAAATGTACTGGAAAATATGGCTTGAGAACAACGTCACATTGCGCTGTATTATAAGACTGTTCCACTATATTAGCAGAGTTTGTTTTTTGTTTACATGCTACAAATACACTGTGAGAGTATAAAGACAGTGCTGTTTTATTGTGTTTTTTAGGCTTGTCCTGCTTAAAAAAGTGAATCAAATAAAGAAGCAGTACATCTGTACCAACTCTAGAGAATTCCAAACAATAGAATATGCAGACAATTAGCCTGATTGATGGTATGGCTCCATACAAACTCCCAAACAGAATGGACTGATGATCTGGATATGCTATTGTTACCTTATCTTTCATTCATAGATTTTTTTCTACCTGGTGTGTAGCTCAGTCACTCAAAGGCCATGTACAGTATACAAAGGGTGATTCCACGTAGCCAATGGCAGATTTAACTCCAGTACTGATGGATTTTACTCAGCTTGAGTTTGATATTTATCTGTACCCTCACTGTGATGCTTCCTATAAGATATTTGACTAGATCCACATCTGAATAGTTGAATGAAACTTTCTTTCCTGTCTGCTTTCCTCGATTTTGCTCTGACTTTTGACTTTTGGTTGCCTTGTAGCTCCACATGCTAGTCAGCTCTGCCAGCATATTTAGTGAGTCCATGTGCTACAGGAAAGTAGGTAGAAAAGAAAGATTCATTTAACTATTCAGATGCAGATCTAGCCAAATATCCTGCCACAATGGCAGATCACCCAAAAGACACTGTGTCATGACATCACATTCCCTATATCATAACTCAAGATCTGCTACAGGTACCTTATATCTGTTTACCTTCTAATATCACTGAGTATGTTGTTTGATGAGGTATGTTTTCATTTCTTCATTAGTAAACGGTTACCTGCTGCATTCTGGAATGTTGCTTTTCATCATAATTTATTGCATTTCCATCAAGTCTTTTTACTCAATCTTGTCAGTGAGAGAGAGAGAGAGAGAGAGAGAGAGACAGACAGACAGACAGAGAGAGAGAATGCTGTTGCTAGGGGACGGAGTCACAGCCTCTGTCTGTCATGTTTCTGGATGAAGATCCTGAAGAGCAGTGAGGTCAGGAGGACTCAGGGGAGCTGTTCCTTTCTCTGCCAGGCGCTCTGCTGGCTCTGACCCACACAGCCCCCACTAATTCTCCACACACTTGCACAAACATACACACCTAGATACACATCTAATGGTTGCACAACATGCACCATATTGCCCTGTTCACAGAGAAGAAACATACTCTACAGATGGGGCTGGGGAGGAGAAAGCCTGATCTAGGAGGCCTTCAGCCAGAACGGCAGAAAAGCTCAACTTGTTCCAGCAGGAGGGAGAGAAAAGACTGACAGTGAAACACAAATTGCTTAAATCTCCAGACTCCCGCACCACTCAGCCAGCCGCACTGGAGTGTTAACTCTGGAGAGGAAGCCCTTCCTAATAATTCACTGATTTGGACTGGCTTCCTTTGCTTCTTAACATCTCTTTGTTGCAAGCATGCATTATTTCTAGTCAATTTTCCACTGCACTGTTTGCTAATATTACTTCCCTTTATTTAAAATGATTGCTGTCAAATTTGCTTCTTTTCATACCGATTGATTAAGAAATAGATTTTTTCATTTTTAGCTATGTGGGAGCAGCAGAGTGTAACACAACAGGGAAGTGAGAGAGTCATAGGCTTCCAGCAAACGCTCTATCAGCTCCTGCACAGCTGCTCTGCCTCTCATTTCAGAATCTGAGCAGACATCATGAAGCACCCCAGCAACTCCCCTCCCCACTCCAGAGTGAGCCGCCGTGAAAGTAGGGCTTGCGGAGGGAATTGAATTAGGCTCCTCTGTAATTGGCAGTGTTATGCCATATAAATCAAGGAAATAAATATTGGCTTGGGGCCCTCCAGGGAAGGCACTATATTCTCTGCCTCTGCATCAGCACGTTACCTTTGCAGGACCTCTTCAAAGTAATCAACTTAAGAGGGGGTGGGGTGGCGGTTCTGCTCTGAGCTGGAGCTTGACGATTGTGCGGGCTGCATTTATTGCCTAGTCTGTCTGTTACATTCAAATTTGGTCACCGTAATGTTCAGTCACCTTCTGTGCTCTCTCTCTGCAGGAGTCATATCAACCTTCCTCCATGTCCACCCTTTTGGAGCCAACATTGAGTATCTGTGGTCTTACATCCAGAGGCTCGATGCAAAGGTAAACCCATTATATGGTTTCTTTAGTAAAATAAACCTTGGGATTTCATATAATGCTCTGGTTAAAGGATTTGAGGATGTGTAAATGTAGTTTTATTGCCATGAGACTGAATGCTGTGTAGCTAAATGAGTGTAGTCGTCCAGTACCAGACAACCTTTGAGCTCAGGTGGTCCTACTAATGAGTATCTGTAAGGCCATGACCTGTGACCTCAAATTAGCTTTGCTTAGTTTAATTGTAGGCTGAACAGAGCCACTTGATCAAAATACATTTGACTGAGTTTGACTATTTGTTTTGATTCTGCAAATAGGCAATTGGGAATCAAACACGAGTCAATCTTAGTCTTTTATTGTGTTTTTATTCAGAATGCAAATGTTGGTCAGTTTTTTTTTTGACCAAAACCCGACCGTCACTACTTGTCAATTAATCGTTAACTGGCAAGCCTAAAATCAAGGAAGCAACCCATCAAAATATCAGTTAAATAAAAGATAATTCAAATCTGATTGAGCAATGTTCAAAGTCATTGTAAAATACTTGATAGAATATACCAAACTCATGAGCGCTCACATCCACTGGATTCTGTATTTATGCACCGAGATATTAATACATGTTCCTTGTATGGACCATGGAGAGTAGTACTGATAGGTGGGGCCAGGCATTAACCAAAACCATATTAAACACACCATACATAAGAACTTATTAAAATGTGGGGCTGAGAACACGTTCATAATTATATGACCATCAAATAATAAGGCAACGAAATGACTGCAACATACAATGATGGGATACTGAAAATTTTATATTTTAAACTTCTTAATTTATATTCACCACTCATTACTAGTCCAAGTTAAAACAAACATGAATGGCATAACCAAAGCTAGCTTGGCAGTAATTCTGGAAAGCCGTCACTGTTCATCACGTTCTTCTTTTTGCACACACGTGATTTCCTCACACCACTGTGCAACACACTTTTTCTCAGAGAATATAGAACATGGACAGAACAGGTTGCCTGATCTAATTATGCTGTCATCCTCTCGAGAAGTGTTCCCAGACACCACTGTTTGTAGCCATGAACTTAATTTTTTAGTAGGCCTATCTAGCAGAACCATTGGCCTATTGCACCCCCCATGCGTACAATTCAAAAAGTTCAACTTAAATTATAAACCTGCCTATTGAAGAACCATTGTTTACTGAAAATAACATTAAATGAAATCGTTTTTTCTAACCAATACATCATCACATGTCTAACAGTTGTTTAGTTGGCAGATAATGGTTAATCATTTAATCATTTCCATCCCTTATATAAACACTTGAACCTTCCCTCCTTAGATCTCAGCCAATGAGCTGGAGAGGCTCATGGTGCGGCTGCCCAACATGTTCAAGCAAGAGTTCAGCGGCGTGGGTGCCACACTGGAGAAACGCTGGAAGTTCTGCGGCTTTGAGGCTCTCAACTCAGCATGACGAACAGAGCCACAGGCACTGAGGCTGCCGGACCTGCGGGCACTGAGCCTCGGTGACACATCCAGACACAGCGAGACTGGCCAGAGCCTTAGAAGAACTCAGTAGAGGGTTCTCGCTCCCTGCTGGATCCGTTTGAGCTGTCACGCCTGCTGCTCTGCTTTACAGACACTGATGATGGCAAAGGAAAGAGCGAGGCACTACATGCAGCACAGAATCAGGACAGATGTATTTACTTGAAGAAGCTCTTTTCAGACTTTGAGCCCTGTTGCATAACTTTTCCTGTCAACGGCGGAGTCCCTGAAGACTCTGGAAGATATCTAGGAATACAGCACTGCTCAATTATAAATATGGAATGTGGAATATGGTAATCTACACTGACACACAGGCGTGTGATAGTGGCCCCTGTGCACCCATCAGAAACCAGTGTGTGGGGACGTTCACTGTACTGGACTTTTCTTTAAAACTTGAGCCTCAGTTTCTCCAAAGTATCGTAGGCTTAAGGTCACTGTTACAGAGAGTGTTCAAAGTGATACTTTTTCTACAGTCTATCAGTGCGCGTCTTCGTAATGGTCTTTTAGGGACCTCAGCCCCGGCCAGTGCTCCTTCATGGCTAATGTGCAGCAGCCAATACTGACCTGTGAAGAGATTCCTTTCACCACTGTGTGAGAGGGGACTTTTTTCTTTTATCGTTGTGTAGACAATGTATGTAACGTGCATTCTCTTTGTGTCATAATGCACCGTTGTAATCTTCTCATGTAAATTATGACTTTATAAAAATCTATTAAAAGCTTTTTATCTGATGCTATTAGACTTTTTATCTGATGCTGTTAGACTTCCTGAGATGAAAGCTATGTCCCATCAATGTCTTGGAGCGCTCCACAGCTGTTCGCTTGCATCATATTTGACATGTTTATTTTGACTTATGTTTGATCCAGAAGTGCTCAGCAGGCAGGCTGGATGAGGACAGGGTAAAGCAGAGGGTTCCCCAATCACTCTGATTATAACAAGCTGTTAATTATTAATTGAAAAGAGGAGGAGAAGGTTGATCTGTCTCTATGTTACATACACGTCCTGATATTTCCATCCTCCACCATGGTTTGTTTTTCCTAGAACAGATTAATGCTTGCATTTAAAGAGCAGCTATCCAACATTTATGCTTGTTCACTCTGAATCTTTGCCTAGAAAGTGGTCAGTTCTAAGTGTTGAAAAGCATTAAAGTGTATTTAATCTAAACCAGTGAGGAGGGAATAGTTTAGCTGCACCCAAATTATGCACTAGGATATTCAAAATATCACATACAAATGCAGTTTAGGAAAAGAGCAGACATACATCAACTGATGTAGGTCGATGTTAGTGCTCATACTGAAGAGTATAGAGAGAGATTGCCACTCAACAACAAATAACAGAAATAGAACAATAAGATAATGGAGTTATCTTCTAAGGTATATTTAGATTTCCTGCAGCAGGTCAAAACCATATTTTCTAAGAAAAGACTGCAGACAAGTTGAGCTCTCATGATACCACTTCCTCTGATACCGCTGTGTCTTCACCTTAAGTCTTAGTTTTGGATTAGAGATCGAGGCTCCTAGGTGGTAGTGTTTTACTGGCAAGTGAGACGCAACATGCTCCAATAGTGAAAATGCTGTGTTCCAGAATTCTGGTGCATCTGATTTCTCTTTAGACAATAGCTCCCATCTGTCTGGGATTAGATCTGAGGGAATCGGGATGTATGTCCAGCTGCAGATACTCACATTGTAAAGTAACACAATGTCTCATCTGCTCATTTTTCTGTTGTTTTCTGAGGTTGACAGCTCTCGTACATGAAGTTGATGAAAGTGTGCATTATTTCACAACAACCACAACGAATATGAATCACATTTCAACGTGAAGAGGCCTACACTCTACTTTTGTATGTAAAAATGCTTCATATGTAGCAAGCAATGATACGTTGGCAAATGAAATCATCTTAAATCTAATGAATGTATCTAACACTCCTCACTTTGAGATTATTGTAAGAAATTAAGATTTTTTTATATTTGTAGACTTTTCATTATTTTAAGTCATTTTATCAAGTGAAATTGTCTTATTTTACTGGCAGATATTTTTGCTTGTTTCAAGCATTATTTCTTGTAACATGCTAAATTATCTGCCAATAGGGACTAGAAATAAGTTGAATAAGCTACTTCTTACATATATTCTTACAAATCAAAATGAAAAAAATATTAGGATATATTGATTAGATTTAAGCTATTTTAACTTATCAAAATATATGTTTTGCTATGTATTCTTTTTAAACAACTTGTAGTCTGTGTAATTGCATTTAACAATTTACTACACCTTGCACAAATAATTTCCTATCATAGACTTACTGAGTGTGCAAAAAAACATGGAAAGGAATTCATTGTGTTGTTGGCGTGTTGGACAGAAATACAGCTTGCCTAAGCTATTCTTAACTGGCCAAAGCAGTGAATAAAAATAGTGTTTCTGCAATAACACAGGACACAAAAACGAGGATTGCCAGACCAGCACTTATTCCTCTAGCATGATTTTCCTCTGTGACAGATAAGCTTTATTTTAAATGCCCCTGGAGCTGAAGAAAATGCACATAGTCTTGTTGTTTTAGTCATGCAGTGGCTGCTTTAAGCACATCCATATTTTCCATTTTTCTTCTCTGGTCATTTGGTTTCCCGTCCAGGCAGGTTCTAATGCGTCTGAATATCCGTAGCATGATGGATGACCAGTGAGACGCTAACAGACACAGCAGGCTGTTTACAAGCCCAGATTGAGCGCCTGTCTTTCTCTTCCATTTTGGATCCCTCCCCAATCTTTTAGCCAGGGCTCGTTCTATTGTTCCGTGCAGTCTGTTGCTTACATCACGTGAAAGGAGACGGAGAGGCTGTATTTGTCATGTGGGTGCCATCAGCCTGCCTATTGTCTCCATATTAATGGGATGTAGGTGACGGGACACAGACAAATACTCCCAGTGATTGGTCAAGGGGACCTTGCCTGGCTGTGAAAGCTCAGAGAATTGTACACTGCACTGCAGATCCCCACGGTCATACTAAACGCCATCAGCTATAAATTTTGTAGAAAGATATTCACTCATTCCAGTGAATTTTCATCATCAATCAATTGCATGTTTTGCATAAAGATGAGTGATTCAATGGGAACATGTTTTTTTTTTGCCTGGAAACAGACTGCATTAGGTCTTCTAAGGAAGCCTGTGGAAAGAGCTCAGTTTGTAAATAAGGTTTATTGAAGAGGTCTATAAATAAACTGGGAAAGGCTGGGAATACAGCAGCATTAACTGTTGTGGATTTCTGCTAATGAAGCTACACAGTGCTTAATTAGTTCTGGCATTTATTTGCTTTTTATGAAAAACAACGTTCAAGCTGTCTATATAATTCTAAATGTTATGCAGTCGGTATAAAAAGCATCTTTTTGCAGGACACCAGTGTTGTGCTTTTAAATGTGTAACTCCACACAGACCTTGCTTATGCTTGCATTGTTTCCAATATTACAGCTGACGCAACAGACAACTCTCATTCCAGCAGTTACATTCCGCTTCTCATAAGACCTTCTCCCCACATCAGTCATGCCTACACAACTCCTTTTCTTCAACTCAAACGCCCTACGCCAAGCACCCTGCTGAGCAAAGCGGGATATATAGGTTACAAAGTCTGATTTTTGTAGCTCTTTGGCTCTGCTCTTCTGCTTCAGAAGTCTTGAGCTTCTGACAGTGAACTGAGACTTGTGATGTTTGACCTGACAGCTGTGTGGAGTTTAAAGACAAAAGTGAGGAACGGCATGGACTGAATGGGAAGTGGAAGAGAGTGCTAAACAATCTACACATACTCTACCACACTAGTTTAACCCCCAAAACAGAAGTCTCTTTCCTACAGCTATTTATTCAGAACTCAGGCTCAACCATTACGGCATTATCGCAGTAACTGAAACCACATGAAGGCTTAAAATATTACATCCTTCCACAGATGAATGAGGAAAAATGTCAAGATGAGAAGAACAGAATCTGGGGATCAAAGATCCATCAGACATGCAGCATGGACAGCAGCTGTGGAGATGCCAAAAGAGTCCTATGTGCTCGGAGCCTCATACAAACTGACCTTTAGTGTAAAAAGCCACTAGACACATAACTGTTTTGTCACTTTAGAAGACAAACCATTCTAGAACTACTGAGAAAGTCCAAAGGTTTGTAGGCACCTGCTCATCCAGTGTTTCTGACCCCCCCTCCCATTCCACTAAGAAGACTTTACACTGGGTGTTGGAACATTGCTGTGAGGATTTGGTTGCATTCAGCCACAAGAGCTTTAGTAAGGTCAGCTACTGATGTTGGATGATTAGTTCAGGATTAGCTCATGTGCAGCTGCTCCAGCGCGCACCATTCTATTGGCAATACTTTTCATGGAGATTTTATGGAGATTATGTGAGCAACTGAATATGTGTCAGCAATGGGTGCATTTTAAAGTATCTTGATACTTTTGTTCCTATAATATATATGAAGGATTAAGTTTTACGTGCAGCGTACAGTGGGATTTTACAAATGTCCAAGGTACGAGTCATTAAAATGAGCTTTATGAAGCATCAATATTTCATTCACATCTGTTTCCAGGGCTTTACAAGGTGAAAAATAGCTCTACTGGACAGTGTGCGTCAGAAACAAAGCCTTGTTCGGATTCTGTTCTTATTTTGCAGCGCTTAATGGAAGGTCACGGTGGTGGAGGGGGACCTGCAGAGAGCAGCCTTGTTCAGGAACTCCATGCAGCTTTCACAGCTTGAGCAGAGGCTGAAAATAGCTGCAGTCACAGGGGGGTCAGAGCGACACAAGCCAACAACAGGGCTTTAGTCAGAACTAGCACAAAACATTCACCTCTGATATACTTACTGTACACATACAAGTAATCAATATCAACTGCAGCACCCAAACAGGGCTGGGCCAAGAGGGGAAAGCTGCTATAATCCACCTATCAGCGCTAGACTGAGAGGGAGGCTGAAGAAGGATCATGCTCGTTTTGGCTTGTGCTTTACATACCAATCATTTTACTGGGTGTCTGACGCAGGCTTTAACTTATTAAACACTTGCTCGTAATTATCAAAGTGGGATATACAGAGGACGACTAGAACTTGATCGGAATCTTTCCATTACATATTCAGTCAGCAATGGTCTGGCTCTGTAAACATGAGGAATGCTTGCTGGTCCATCTGGATGATCACTCTTTTGATGTGCTTAAATCACTCATGCAGTGTGCTCATAAAAATTGTAAACGTGTTCCACTATTGTTGTTCAATTAAAATGAATACACCCTTATACTTATTTCAAAAGCTCAGCTGCTTCTTTTCTTTACATCCACCCTTTTTATATTGCAATAAACAGCTTACTGGCAGCAAAGCTTAAGAACATCTGAGCAATGGCCGTGTATAGTGCCCAGACCTTCACATCAATCTACAGGGGACTGACAAACAGCAAATGACCGTCCCCTTACTGTGTCCATCTATCAGCCTGGGACACTGTGTACACCACATCACAGATGACTCCCATGCATTAGTATTGCTTGCAGTAAAAAAACACAGTGCTGTTTATCTGATGGTGACAGTTTTGGTGCATTCAATTTTCTCTCTATTTTTTCACTTATTTTCTATTGACTATCATTTCTTATGCAAATGGATTATTTTCTTATATCTAATCACCTAAGAAAAATCTCCTGAAATATTAATTATTCATACTTAAAGGCTGTTTTGACTGAAAATTAAATAAAGTGTGGTCTCTGACTTTTGCATAGTA